TTCTGATTTGGAGGGAATGGCTGGGACAGATGGGAAGATGCCTAAAGATCTTTTGCTTTTTATCTATTTTTTATGTATCTATAGTTTTGAAGACTCTTTTTATATATAGCTGTATAGGTCTTAGCTCTTTCTTCCACCTTAGAATAGGTAGGTTACTCTTTCTCACACATTTATGCCACCTCCCTGAAATTCTGTTTAGTCTTATTTTAAATAAAAGAATTTCTAATAAGGAAGACCAGTCTTGCAGCAGCACTTAGAAGACATGACAAAACATGGGGTGTGGAACCCCTTGAAGTCTCTCCAATAGGGCAGGTCCAAGGATGGGTTACCAGGACAATCTGTCTTCTATTGGATGTACCTGCTAGATATACTAATTAATTAAACTCATTAAAAGCTCAAGGAAATCCAATACCATGCATGCACAAACAGCTGTATTTGTGCACCTGAAAGCTTTCATTAAAGAACTACTCATTATATTACTATTTTACATTGTTTGGAAAGTTTATCTTGTGATTCCAGGCAACAGGACAATTGCCTGGACAATGTGCCTTAATCACAGTTTTTTCATTTTTTTGATCTAGGAGACAATACTGACGAAGAAGAGGAGAGCAGATTTTTACACAGAACATGCCTTGAGAACTAGGACAAGATAGATAGATAGATAGATAGATAGATAGATAGATAGATAGATAGATAGATAGATAGATAGATAGAGATAGATAGATAGATAGATAGATAGATAGATAGATAGATAGATAGATAGATAGATATAGATAGATAGATAGATATAGATAGATAGATAGATATAGATAGATAGATAGATAGATAGATAGATAGATAGATAGATAGATAGATTAGATAGATAGATAGATAGATAGATAGATAGATAGATAGATAGATAGATAGATAGATAGATAGATATTCCTGGTCTTGTCTGATGATGAGAGCAGCATCATATTATACAGGCATTAAAATTCTCTGGAAGCTGTTATTTATAGTAAATTGTCATCGTGCCCCAGAGGATCTTGCTTCCAATACATGTGGTGCCACTTCCCTCTGTTTCTGGAAACGACAGAATATTGGCTTTCCACTGTGAAGCAAAGTTCATTTGAGGATAGGAAACACCAAGTGCCAGATTTTGGCAGATAGTATTAGAGAGCACAGTTTACAGAGAATGCCCATCTGTGTGAAGCACACAAGAGCAGCAGTGGCACTGACAGAACTGTCAGTCTGCTTTATGTGGCAGGACTGAGGCTGATACATTGACAGTAAGAAGCTGCTTGTTAAAAAAACACAAGAAGCAAACATTTCACTACTTTTATTCTAGTTGCTGATTTATCACAGCTTCAGCATCATTGTTGTGTGTGGTTATCAGAGACATCAGAAGGTGCCAGAATGGTGCAATGCACTGGCAACAAGAACATGCCTTTAAAAGGGTATAAGAGATTTTAGAGTCTTTCAGTGCTAGCTATTTACACATTAAGGACTTTAAAAACACATTTTGCATGTCTCAAAACACTGCCAAATCCACAGAAGGAGTGTGCCATAAGATAGACCACCACAGCAGGAACTTGAGATAAAAAATTATGACAGGAAGGTACTAATTCCAGGCCTGGGGAGGTGAGATCTAATTATCACATTGTGGCTAACATATCTGGACAAAAATTCCCTGTGTGGCAAACTGTGGGAAAGGAAGCAACTGCTCATACACATACCACACCAAGTTACAAGAGCAGCACCTGCTACTACCCCACAGATACCCAAAACTTGGAATGTATAAAGGTTCCCCTGAAGAACAGTTATTAGATCCCCACAACTGAGATGCCCAGGGCGAAGAAGAGCTGGTGGGATGCCCTTGGATCTATGGGTGGTGATTATCTTCAGCTTGATCTCTCTGTCTTTCTCTCTCTCTCCCCATTTCCACCCCGACCACCTCTCTTCCATAAATTTTTATGTCTGTACATTGCACTTAGTGCTCAATAAAGTCCATATTCTCAGCTTATTCTGTGATTCTGAGATCCTGTGATATTTCAACATATGATCTCGTTTTGTGCTTTATTTAAGAAAGGCATCTCTCACTAGCCAGGTCATAACAACCAGCTCACCAGGCTTACCAGCTTTTGGGAAAAATACCCTCAGTGTTTTAAATCGTTTAAACAAGGGAGTGAGCCTTGCAGACTTTCTAAAATTATCTTTAGTCCCAAATATCTGAACCTATGTCTCTATCTACAGAGCACTTCTTAGGTGATATAATAAAAAAAGGTTTTGGAATATCACATTTACTTGCATCTAGGAAGAAATCAATCCCATGTTAATTACCATGAAATTTTGTTACCTATTTTCACACCAGGATCAGATTGTTTCTTCATATAAGTTATGGTTTAGATTGATATCATCTTTCCAGAGGTTATTGGTATTTTGCTCAAAAACTGGCCTTCATACTTTGGGAACTTATCAAATTATTTTAGAAGATTTTGTTTCCTGTAATTATTATTGCATACCACCTTTTTATTTTTCTTCTACTAATTTTTCCAGGTCTTAAAAAAAATTTATTTTTATTTATTTATGTGTAAAAACCCAAGACTCATTCCCTATCAGTGATGCAACCTAATTGCCCCAGTCTTCTGCTAGCCACTTCTCTCTCTTTTGGATAACTCATTTAATAAAATAAATTTTAGCTTGCAGATTGATCACTTGAGATAACTGTGTAATGTTTTGTGGTCAGAAAGTTCAATATTTTAAAATGGAGTTTTGATGGCTAAAATTGCTATTGATTGGAAACTATTGGCTCCAAGAATTATGGAAATTAAATATTTCCAATACAACTGTTATAACAGATGCAATATTTTGAGACAACTGGTTATAGCTATTATTGGCATCAAATTACATAATGGATTTTTTTTCTTATCTATTTCCAAGAAAGAGATGAAAAAAATGTTCTTGATCTATTTTTTTATTAAGTTCTTCACAATGGATTAAGAATGTGAAATATTAAAAACTCTCCACAACTGTGGAGAGTTGGCAAGGGCACAGAGAAAGGAGTCAAATGGTAAGTGATGAACATTATTTACTGAACGTATCATTAGTTGTGTATAATACCAATGTACACATATAAGAATGGATCAAAGTGGAAAATCAGCCACAGGTATTGGAAATTCTCTTTCATTTTGCAATTTCCAAACTAAATCACCAATATTTTTGAAAATTTACCCACCTGTAATATTAAGAGCAGAGACTATTATGTAAAAATGCACAAAACACTCCAACAAAAAGTCAATGACCAAAACAAGCCTCAAAGTGTGTAATGCTATTTTTTATTATTTTTCTAAGACTCCAACAGATGTGATTCATAACTTTCTATGACTATGCACTGCAAATGAGATATTGTATCTCAAAAGAAAACAAAATATTCTGATGTCATATACTAGATACCTTCTTTAAATTTTCATACTAAACAGAATAAAATAGTCCAACCTTTTAAGTGCAGATCATTACATTCAGCTGTTCCCCAAACACCTATGGAGGTTATATTTATTTCTTCCTTGAATTATTAATTCCACATATATTTCAGATTTTACACTAAAACCTTCTAATAATGTGAGTACAAGCAAATACTTCACAGAGGATGTTTACATCCAAATATGACACTGGTAATGTTTTTGCATCCTAACATTAGCAATATTTCCATGCTGTATTGAAATCAAAGAGTCACAAAATAGAGAGATGAAATACCTGTACTTGTAAGTACCAAAGAATAAAAATATCTCATTTTCATTCACATCATCCTGATGAACAACATCAAGATTTGCTATTGTTATTCATATTGGCTATTACATGCTTATCTCTGCATATATCTGTATTTCATGAGAACACACTGATTGCTGAGAATCAGAACAGTGTACAGACCTAACAGAAAGCTCCCCAGGACAATTTCAGCTGGTGGATTCTTTGCTGTGTCTCTCTTCCGTTCACAACGTAAAGCAATCCCACTGAATAAATCCCACTGAACCCATTAACAATGAGAAAGCCTTTAACATTAACAGAAAATTTTCACTCCTGACAGAACAAGGACTCCTCATTAAGGTTTGTATACGTGATATAAACATTGCTCTACATTTTAGGGAACTATACTGCATCAAAAGTACTTTACAACTCTAATTTACTCCAACACTTCTTGAAAAAATCACCAAGATATTTTATATCTTTATATTTCAGTTTCTTCACCTTTCCTATAAAAAAATCATCTATTTTCTGAGGAATATCCAGAATTTTCTTATTATGAAATGCTAACAAACAATGAACTAAAATCTCTGTGTAAACCAATATTTTCCTACAAGCCCAGCATGCAGGAAAAATTTTTTTGTTGAAAGTATGAAAACATTACCATACTGGGTCCCATGCTTAGCTTCAGTAAGACAACTGACAATCTTTTGTTTCTGGCTAGAGACACTTGCAGCTTAAAAATCAATCCTGTTGAAAATGTACTAATTAATAAAGAGTTTGAATTACCATACTTTTTCCATGAGTCTGAAGTTCATAGATGAGGGAGAAAAATGAAACAACTTACACTGCACTTATCTGTACGTTTTCTAACTTAAAATATAAGACTCACAGCACCCCATTTGGAGATAAGTCTCGTGGATGCTCCTGGAAACAGTACAACAGTCAAGTCAAGTATAAAATGAATTTTCCTTTGGTTAATCCTTCCAGCTCTGGCAATTGATTTAAAGACTGCTTGAGCTGAAAGTTGTATCTGGAGCACTGTGGTTTATGGGGATACATAGACTATGCTGAGGGAGTTTGTGAGCTTTTTAATAAGATCCAAAATTTAATTAGGTGGAGGTTGTTTTGTGATGTCACAGATAAGTTTTTTACTAGGATATGGCTATGATTTTCTAGTATACAAAATTAATCTCTGTTATACAGAAGGCGCTCAATGGAATTACATTTATTTTTTTGGAAGAGAGTAAGTTGCTTAATTTTGTTGATATTAAGCTTGTGAGCCTTAAAATAATTTTTTTAAGACCAATATTATGAAAAAGGAAATAAGATCAGAACAAAAAAACCAACCTGTTTTATTGGATTAGGAAACATTAACTTGCCCCTGGGTTTATATCTATCCTGTGTTTCCACAAGACATGTCAAAAAAAATGAACTGTTACACCCTGGACTACACAGAGATTAATACAAGTATCCAGTCTTACACTCACAGAGAAGATTGTGAAGTACATATTCTTACCCAATGTTAAGTGTCTCTATACCACTAGGGCATTTAGGAGAAATTAATCAATAATTGTCTTACCTCTATTCCCAAAATAATGTTTTCCTGCACAGGAGATATTCCTTTATCATTCTGATGTTTTAAATTTCTTTCTAGCCTTTAAGAATGTGATAAAACTATTACTAGCTGAAAGTGGTAGTGCAATAGGAGTTAAATTTTCTTCATTGTTCAGGTAAACTACTGCTTCTCTTTTTCCTTTTTAACACTTTTACAGAGACTTTAGACAGAATGGTGCAGCTTTCCCTAATTTTGGTCCTAGCTGTCTCATGTACAATCTGAAATCTTTGGCTAAGCACATCTGACCTGCAGAGGACAAGACATATGCAGAGTTTTACTGATTCTCATAAACTTTACACACAGCTGTGTTTTCAGTGAAATATTATTCTAAGGAAAAGGTATTAGGGACAAAATTTCAAGCTTGTAAGGAAAGTCAACTGAGTACAAATTGTTTTCCACTCTTCTAATAAGTATCCCCAATAAAATTATGCAATCTTAGCAATTTATTGATACAGACAACACATTTTCACAAAGCCTACCAATGCGAGAAGATGCATGCCATGTTTCTTTCTGGAGCTCCCACGCTGCAGAAAACTGACATGGGTAACATGTCAGCCAAAAGTAACATGGGTTACTTCCATGCAAGTGAAGATTTATAACAAACATTGGGAGGTTCTGCTCTTACAGGAGTGTGTTTGGGCTTAGGACAACGTCCTTCAGTGTCACATTATACTATTCTTAAGGCTCCTTATCTGTACATGGGAGGGCCCCTGGGCATTCCTGGATGCATCCCTGGGATGCATGGATTTCCAGGTGGATAGCCTGGCATCCCAGGCCTCCTGGGCCCTGGTGGCCTTGTGACAGCTATGGATGGTGGAGGAAAGTTTCCTCCTCGGCTCTGTGGAGGATAGTGGCCATTCAGGACAGGGCCAGGATGCTGGAGCGTCTGAGAGGAGCTGGGTTCTTGTGGCTGGTCTTTCTTCGATCCATTGCCATCCTGTCCTTTCTTGCTGTCTGAAATGTGTTTGGAGGACAGAATTAACAAATGATCATGAAATTCCAAAGCTCCCTGACAGGGAAATCCAGCAGCTGCCTGACTATCCTAGAGTTCAGAGTAGCAAGTCTGGGCCTCCCCTGTTCAGACCTGGGGTAATGCACCTTCATAACCTTTGTGCTGTATTTTCCATCCATTTTTTCCTGCAAGGCTCCCATAAGGGCAGATGGGAAATTTCTAAAGCTGCACTTAGATATCATCTATCAATGATGATGAAGTCAGTAACTACATGGCTCTAGCAAAGATAATCATCTGTCACCTGGGTTTCCCTCCTAGGCTTTTAGTGGCTGTAGGGCATGCGTGCATGACGAGGGAAAGTAAACAGCCAGCAAAATCCCTTAGGACAGACTGACATCCACCTCCCACAGCTGGGCTTTCTGGTAAGAGTTACTTACTCTGTTCCCACTACACCTTCCCTAGGTGAACCCAGCACAGGTGACAAATACTTTCCTGCTTAGTTCTGGGTCAATAAAAAGCAACAGAAGGGTAAAAGATTTAGACTTTGACTGCTGAGTGATAGATAAGAGGGATTATTAACACTCAGATCAGGTTTTAATTGCATTTTTTCAGCAGGACTGTGACTTTCAGTTCATTATAGTTCAGCTTTTAACTTTGGTGCTGCCAGGTGTGGAATAATGTTGCATATTTCTCAAACAAGCAAAAGAGAGAAATGTGAACTTACTAGTTGTGATTCAGTATTGTGAAGATGTTTCAGGACATTATAGCAGTGGAACAAGCCAAGACAGTGAGGAAGACTAGGATCACACATACTTGAATTCCTCATCATGAGACATTCAAACCAATTCTTACCTTTGTTTGGAGTGGATTCATCTTGCTTGTCTCCTTTAGGCTTTGCTGGTGGTGGTTCTGTCTCAAATGGGTTTTCTTCTTGTCCATTTGATTTTTGTGCCTTTTGTTTATTTCTTCTTTTATTTTCTTCTGCTTGCTAATTATAGGGAAAGAGAAGGCATCTTTCAGTGATCCTAACAGTCTCTGTAATATTTAGTAAAATGCAAAAAAATCAATAATTCTCTATTCTTACACTTTGTAACTTCTTTTTAAGTTCCAAGTTTGCTTCCTTGTAGGATTTGGATGTTGCGTTGAGATAATAAATGCTCAGGCTAAATTTAAAAAATAATAGTTTCTTGTTAGACAATTATTTAAATATAAATAACCAGAACATTCCTTTAGCAACCATTACAGCTGTGATAAGGCCTGTATCTTTTTCTCATTTAATGTGCTTAGTCAGTACTAATATTTTGACAATGAACAAAGTGCTTCCTTACTTTATGAAGAAACCGCTTTTATTTTGGGAGAGAAAAATGAAAGAAATTGTTTTCTCTATTAATATTCTACATTCAGTCTTATAATATTTAAGAAAGATGTTTCATTAAGTAGTGCTTAACTGTTAAGTGACTTCTATAGAATAAAAGTTGCATGGTATACCTTAAAAATTAATAAATCATATTAATGAAAGCTTTCAAACAAATATAGTAAGCAAGCTGAAATGCTGTCAAGAAAACAACCAAAATAATATTCTTTTTTTTAAAAATTATTACTTCCTTCTTCTATTAAGAAAAAACATAGGAAAATTTCTTTTTTTTAGTGTATAGAATACTATTGTGACAACTCTATAAAATTAGTAATTTTCACTATCCTGATTTAATAAGAAAAAATCTGCTATGAAGTCTTTAGTTGACATAAGCAGCAAATATTTAATCAGCATGTACTGTTTCCTCTGCTTTGCTTGATTTTGCCTTATATTTTTCCTCCTTTTTTTTTCTTCTATTTATTTCTAGTGTCCTTCTGCCCTTTATAACTAGGGGTTAAAATAGATTATGGCATTAAGTCATCCTTGGCAAAATTTCATCTCAATATTCCATATTGCTCATATAAAATCCTTTCATAATTTCTATTGTGTTCTATAATCTTCCCTATTTACTTGCAGTTCTGCAATGCAAAGTCAAATCCCAGCTTACCTCTGTTTAGAGTTAATTTTTAGTTCAGCAGTATGCTAAATAACCCAGTATAATAACCTAATCAAGCAGGTTAAAATTCATTGATAAAACAGGACTCAATACAATCTCTAAGAGCAAATATTCCAGGGTCATTTTTCTTTACCAGTTACTGAGCCACTCACAAAAACCTCTACTAGTCCTGTTCCACAAAGTTTCCAAAACCATGTCTCACACTCCTGTCCCAATAATATAAAGTACAGTCTTTATCAATTAAAGGCACTGAATATCTGATTCATTGAAAGTAACTGAGATTAACTCTGCTCCATGGTGTTCATGTTTCTGTCGAACATGCTAAGGATTTATGATGTGTTGTTCTGCATACTGGACAAGCTGATCAATGTCATAGTATTACAGATTCCCTATGGGCCTTTTGTATCCTAATAGATTTCTATCTTTCATGGCAGGAACATTTTTTAAAAGTATAACTAAACCAAAAAGAAAGCCATTGAAAAAAAAGATATCAACCTTTCTGCACACACACATTAAGTATGTTCAAAGAACAGACTCATTAATTGTTCAAGTCACTCATCACTGAACAACCAGCACTACCTTTCTCAGATATTCAGTGATGACTCAGAGTGAAAGAAACTTAGCAGATCTTAGATACAACAAGCATTGAGTTAATATTCTATACGTACACCATCAGCAATATAAAGGGTAGGACAAGTCCAGGGTTAGTGGCATAACCAAATACCTTCCCAAACCAGGAAGGAAAGTCGTGCTCCAGAGTTTCTGATATGACTTCAAACATTCTAGTCTTCCCACTATTAAACAAAAAAGTTGACAATATATCACATACAAATATTATGAATATATAAGCTAATCACATCATATCAAACCTGGAAAAAGGATAATATATGGTATGTTAACATTATTAAAACTGCACACTGAAGGGGACACTGAAGGGGGTATTGTCTAAAGTAGTATTTATGTATTCCAAAGAGGGAAACAAACACCAAAATTCTCATTGTATGCTAATAGAATTTGCCGGATTACCGCCTAAATTACTCCTCAGTGAATCAGTGTATGAGCTGTGAACTCCATATCATCAACCAACAAATGAAGCATTATTTGTGATCTATGAAGACATGGCAGGAAAATTCAGTCCTGTTTTTTCATGTTTGACAAGAAAAAAGTTGTCCACTTGCAATTGTTTTTTGTTAAGCCCAATTCTCCTCTTTGGTGTGTACCAATGCTACACAAGTCACTGTCTGTGTTTCAGGATATTTTTGTTGTTGCAGCAATCTAGTCACCTCCATATGTAATTGCTCCAACTTAATTAGAAAGTTATTTTCTTCCTAGACTATTTTCCTTCAGAAGTGTATCAATAGATATTCTAAAAATCCCTTTCTGTTTATTTTGCCTTCTGTGCCTCATGGCCCAGAAGTTTGTCATTTTTAACCTGGACAAGACCAGAAAAATGGGTCTCTGTCTATCAATTCCAATTAGTAGTTTTAATTAGTTGTAGGAATTGTCACCAAATTGCCACCTGACTGTCCAGTCATTGACGTTTCCTGTCACTGCTTTTCAGTTGTGGTAAAGAATTTCTTACAAATGGTTCTTTTTCTTAACTCATTGCCAATGTTTACACCCTTTCAAGTAATACAAAAATTTTGGAGGCAGAATTCTTCAGACTTGTTCTTTTTTTCTAGTTGTCCTACCCACTCACAACAGATGAAAAATTCCAGCCTCTGCTTTCCTCATGCTCTCCAGTGTGCACAAAGTGCATATTGGATACTGCAATATTGATAATTCTGTCCCGTCTTCCCTACTCCTCGCAGGTCTCTGGTGAATTGTGTATATTGCTTTAATGAATGAACTAAAATTAAACAAATATAAGAATAAAGGGGGAAAAAAAAACCAAACAAAAAAATGAAACCCCAAAAGATTCATGAATTTCAAAAAGGATGGGACACTGAGTTACCAAGAGGAAAATGTTGTGTTTTTCAAATGTAGAGGCATACTCTACCAGTATTTATTCACTGGCTGCTCAAATGTAGCATCCATATTCAAATGTTACCTATACTGAGGCTGAATGAGCTTTCATCAGTCTGAAGTTCTCCCTGTTGGAAGTTATATTGAAGGTTTCACTTTTTGATGAAGAACAACATATCTCTGCACATGACAGAGAAAAAAAGGCAAGCATCATCTTTCTCATTTTGAAGAATAATCTCACCATTTAGTTAATACCCAATTTAATAACTGCTGCTACTCAGATCTGACCTCAAGTATTTCCCTCAATATGTTTTTGCTAGGATTCAAAAAAAAAAAAAATCTTAATTTATATCTCCTGTTTTGATGCAAATTCTTCTGTAAATTCAAACAATTTTCTGTCTCATCAGAATTTTTGTTATGTCATGTGAGTCTTCCTTTTATTCTACCTATGACTTCCTACTCATTCTACCTATGACTATCGTGATGACAATCTCTGTCATTTTGCCTTTAGCCAAATTTAATGTGGTAAGACTTTTGCTCCTTTAGAAACTGCACTGGGGATCATACAGATGTAGTTTTACTCACAAGAGTAATGTATTATTTAAACCTTTCAATGCAAACAGAATGTCTCTTCTACCATTCTCCTACTCTTGCATGGCTAATATTTTTGTTCGATAACAAGGGCTAGGGACTTTTAAAATTTTAATTTCTTGTCTGTTTTTATGTGATAGAAGTCATATACTTGTATCTCATGTTACCTGGCAGGTAAAGATGATGAAAATGATCCTAGACTTTCCAGGTACTGCACACAAAAAGAGAAAGTGTGACAAAGTCTAAACTACCCTTAGTGCAAGACGTGTTTGCAAGGCAGGCCTAGGTGTTTAGAAAAGATCAATGACTATGGAGGCCTTGAAGACTTCAGGCACAAATTCAGATTCACAGTGGTAGTACAGAGACATGAAATTCTATGCACTGGAGAGAGTCATGGCATTCAAAGACTGAGCCACACTATATTTATCACACCCTCACACATTCTGATCTGCCCTTCCTACAGGCCACATAGACATTTCCTAAAAGCACTCTCTTAAAAGCACAACGGGTCACTGCTCTATTCCTTAAGAATCATTTTTCTTTAGTGCAGCTGTAATGATAATTTTTTTCCTATTGAATTTGACAAAAAGAAAAGATTTTCTATTCTACATCTCAGATAAAACTTTCTAAAGAATCAGCCACTTTTCCAGGATTCCAGCTTTGGGAATTATCCACAATGAGAAATACATCACAATTAAACATTCAACATATCAGGTGCTAATTACAGAGACACTTTTTCATCACTCCGTAATTCACTGTGATGTGCAGAAGCAGATCATTACAACAATTGCAAAAGATGGAGGTAAAATGCAGAGAACCTGAAAGGACCACAGTCAAAAGATGGTGGGATGGAAACAATGGTGTACACAGCAGGCAGTGTGGAGAGAAAGAGGATGAAAAGCAGCATGGCCATGTAGAAGTTATTGGATCTGGAAGCCTTGAAGACCCGTTCTTGGGGGACGTTGCAGCACATCACTGCCCAGCACTGCAGGTACATCGACGTGTGGAGACGAAACACATTGATTGCTGGGAGACATGGAGCATAAAATGATCCCATCCTAGAAGTAAAGCAAATAAAAAAAAAATAACCACTATAATTATAGGACTTTCCAGGAATGCCACACAGTCCTTCCATCAATGTATTTTGCACACTGTGCACTCAGAAATCCATGTAGCAAACTTTATGGGGTTTTTTAACTCTTTTTTGAAAAACGTTGAAGGCGTATGAAGAAAACTATCTGTATGAACTTTTTGTTTAAAATTCCTCTTTCTCTGCAAATTAAATAATGACTTGGTGAAAAGTTATTCACTTTTAATTTTTCCAGGTAGCATCTTGCTTGTGTTGTGTGAAATATGATAGCCATAAAAGTAGTTACTACCAATTCCTACAGCTAGGTATAAACAAAATAATTTCATTCATAATTTATTATTTTTTTATTGATATGATAACACGTGCTTTAGGAAGGATATTTTTGCTTCAGTGACATTTATTTTAACTGCAGTTGCCAGGGTAATTTAGGCTTTCATGCCAACAATCTGTTTATTGATTCTGTTATATTTAGTTTTTTCCTTATTATATATGGTTACATTGTTATGACACCAAATAGTTGGCAAGTTTTTTTATTTTTATCACACTTTGTTTCTTGTGTCATGCTGAATGAAGAGCAGCTAAATTCATTTTCCTGGCCAAATGGTACAGAATACAAGAGATCAGGAACCTGCTTCTCCTTAATCCTTGCCCTTGTGGTCAGGTGACAAGGTGATCAAGCTAAGCTGCTTTGCCCCTGAGTGCCTCAGACATTCTATTTAGAAACAGGAAATATATTTACATTAGGGTTGGAAAGATCTTCTGAGAACAGAAAAATGACAGGCTTTTGTATATTAGTTTAGCTCCTTTCTCTTTTTGTATATCTTAAATAAAAAGATAAAGGGTTTTACAGAAGTGACAGTTTTACCACACAAAAAGTCTGATCAGCCAAGTCATATTAAATGTAAAAATTAGGCCTTAGCAAGAACTGAGAAGTCAACAGTGCTTGTAGAGAGCAGTTCCTGAGGAAGACTGAGCATCTTGCAGAATAGAATGAAAACCTTTTCTCCTCTACATCTGAGGACTAACAGTAGTATTGTTTACACATTCATTTAATTGCACAGATAAGGATAAATACATTTGCTTTAAGCTCTTTTTTTCAGGAACATGGGAAAAGAACAGTAAAGTATGCTGAAAGGCTAAATTTCAAAGCAAAGCACTACAGCAAGCAGTCAGCATAAACATATGCAGATTTTTACTGCTTGGTTTTACAAACTCAGTGCAAAATCCTGATGTATGTGGTCCAATAACCCCAGCCCATAATTAGTTTTGAATTGCTCCAGCTCATTGCAGTGTACCAGAGTTTGGTATATTGCATATACTTCCATCAAATTAAAGAACAGGGACATGATCAGGATTTCAGAAAAGTCCTTCACAGATGCAGATAAATCCCACCATCCTGCAGATACAACGTGCTTTTCCCCACCTACCAGATCATGCCTTGGTTAAAGATCAGTCCCAGCACATTTCCACTTATATCAAACTCAGAATATGATGGCTGAAAGAAATGATATGGATGTTTTCATTAGGTTTGCACAAAGGGCTTTAAGATGAATTAGAGTAGATGAAAACTAGTGGAGAATTACAAATCATTCTGGGTACCGGGTAAATTTAAAAGCAACAATACAGAAAATTTCTATTTGAATGGCTAATGGATGCCAAAACATTGTGTCCTCCAGTACAGCCCCAGCAGTAAAATTTAATGTGATGAATGTGATTTAATTGACTGAATACACAATTGACCTCTGGCATTATTTTTCTTTTTTTTTTTTCATTAGCTATTGCACTTTTGAAGTTTTCCTTTCAACATTGATAGAGGTTGCCAATCATTTTCTTTGTTTAATATGAAGATCTTATTTCTAATTTGAGTGCTTGATTCTAATTTTTCCTTTAAGATTCAGAACTTTAAGAATGCCATGGGGTCTCATTATGTCTTTGTTTGCTGAAGAAAGCCCTCTATCATACATTTTTATTTCCAGTGTAGACACATAAATACCACAAAAATTGTTTAGTCTTTTATTTCTGAACTAATAATTTGACCCTTCATTCTGTTTTTTCAAATCTTTAATCACTTGGCCATCTCTTACCTTAATTACTAGTTTCTTATTTATGAACATTTCCATTTATAAACATTGAATACACTGAATTTACATAACAACTGAAAGGCAGCACATGCTAATTTGTGTTCATATGCACCAGATCAAAACTTTCTGCTAAGAAATTGGTGGCTTTAAACTTTTCGTTTATACCTGAATATCTGTTTCAAATATATTATTTGTACATTTATAAACATTATTTATATATTTATACACTATAGCTGGTGTCTTGCACAATTTGCCATGATGATGGACAAAAAAAAAACCATGAATAATGCATATCTTTCAGGTAATAATTATAACGATGAGGGCAAGAGGAAAATGAGATGCAAAAATAACAATTTCCTTATGGCCAAAACAAGACAAAGTCATTCTACTGAAATCTTCAGTTAAAGCCACAGTTTTTGTACTGTGCTGTGCTTTTGGAATATGTCAAGTTCCTGCACTCTTTGTGTGTAGCTTTGTGCACATACATAACACACACAAACACACACACACACATATATACATATATTTATACATACATACATATATGTATGTTTCCAGTGAATTTATATATTTAATGTCACATGAATCTGCTTGCATAAGGGGAAAAATTAAATAGATTACTACTATTACACTTGAAAAACATTTGGTTAAAGACATCTGTATAGGTTAGAATGTTAAAATATTTATAAGATCACACTGAATCAAATGATGCATGACTGCTTTTTGTAACATTGGCTAGCAATGTCAGACAAAAAAAGTCTGAAATACAATTATTAAACAAATAAAAAAGGAGTCTTCCCACACAACATGCAAGTTAATCTCTGGAATTCTTCCCTATTTTGATCATCAAAAATATTTTTCTTGTAGAGAAAGGCTGAAAATCAATGGATATTCATGGATTCATGGCCACTAACCACAGAGACATAGGTATAGCTACTTCCTAAGGAAGGTTTTCAGCTGAGCTGTTTCCAGAAATTCTGTGATTTCCAGTTTCAACTTCCAGCTTTTGTTTCAGAAAGTTTACTGGACCTGGGGACCGTAATTTACCAGACCATTACAGACATTCCTATATACTGCCCAATAAAAATGTCAATTATAAACTGGTTTCAGGATCTCCTACAAGCAGATGTGTTGTTGTTAGTTTCTCAGCTCATGCTATATTCAAATTCCTCCATTTGATTTTGATGTTGTAACAGTTATTACCTGTTTGAACACAATCTGACTAACTGGTAGTGTTTGTCTCCACCCCTATACTAGTCCTGTTTGAGGCAGAATGTAAAACCTAGAGATAATGTTGAAATTTCATGGGAGTCAGCAAGTAATGATGAGATTGCTGCACCAGAAACAAGATGTTTTTAACAGAAAACCTGAAAACTTTCATCTCCTCCAGAAAACTGGGATTTCCCAAAATGCAGTTCTTATCAATGCAAGACATTTTTACATGTATGAAGACAAAATTTTAATGAAAGAATGTGAAAATAACAGCTACAATAGCTGCTTATGCAGGAGTACCCTTGATAGCCTTAAATCACATTGCCCTTTTCTGTACTTCTCAGTAAGTACAAAAGGAGTAAGTACTCAGTAAGTACTTTGGGAGCTTCACAAGCTTTAACAATTCCATGACTACTACTTAAAAGATGAAAAACATCTAAAACAATTTTATATATATATGTGTGTGTGTGTGTGTGTGTGTGTGTGTGTGTGTGTGTATGTGTGTGTGTGTGTGTAGTAATATTTCTAGAACAGGATTTTTCATATTTTTCTCCACATGAGCTATGTGCTAGAAGACCCTATCCGATCAATGAAATTATATTCTGTGAAATGGTCAAATAGTAAATGTGCAAAAAATGTGTGTTCTCACAAGAAAAATAAAATTTTCTCTTACAAAATAAAATAAAATAAAGAAGTCCTAAAGTTACCAAAGCCCAAAGAAGGAGACAAATATTAAGGCATAAGCAAAATGCAAGAAAAACTAACTTCAAGGCATTTTGAATTGGTATATCTAACCTAAAGTTAACTCTGTAGCATTGAAAGCAAAATGAACATTGTTACTTAATTGTGAAGTGATAGCAAAGACATTTAAAATAAGATACTTACAAAGCCATACTCCAAGTCCCAGCACCAGCAGTAATTGAAAAACCTAACAAAGACAGCTCTCAAAAAATCGCCGATTAGAATTGTTATGTATGTTGTCATCATGTCAGAGACTGTCAGGCGCACAAATTCCTGTCAGAGCAATATTCTCTTTTAAGAATAAATTTAAGCAGTTAATAGTTACAATCATAATTAAATACTGTACTAGATCTGTATCTGTGCTTATCCTGCATGGACAAAACTCAACCTTTCTACGTTCACCGAGCCTGTAATGTGCCAGAACTACTGCCCCTCATTTTCTAGAGCTATCCTCTGTTCTAATTTGTGTTCATATTATCAGATGAGACTTCCAGAGTATGATTAAACATGATTAAACTGAGAAAGGCCTATAGCCAAGATCACTGCTATAACAGAAATCTGTGATGATACCTTCAACTGCTTTTGATCCCTTTGATTTGAGAAGACTATTAAAAAACAAACAAACAAACAAACAAACAAACAACGGTGAATGGCTTCTCTCAAGCAGTTTCAATATCCAGTGGATAGAGAGGAAGGAAGAAAATCCTAGTGCAAATAGTCATGGCTCTACTTTTATTTTAGGCTTTTTATGTTTCACTAAAGCCTGCTATAACAGGCCTTACCCCAACAGCCCAGAAAGCTCTTACTTTCCCTGATATGAAATTCAGGGTAAAATTATTTCATTTATGAGCTCTTGGTATTCTCAGCATTTTGTTTAGCATCAGTGAGAAGAGAGGGGCTGATTTTTCTGCCTATATTCTCCCTGCTGGTGGTTTATTCTTTCAGGAGGACAGATTGTCAGGGTGATGGAAAACAGCAAAATTGATTCAATATTGAAATTGTTGTCATGGACAAATCAACAGCAATGTAGAAGGATCAAATTGAGGGAAAGGTTAGAAAATTATTTGGAAACCACATTTTATGATGGTCTGTCAATAAGAATAAATGAGAATAAGAAAAATAGGAATCAAATAAAATATCTGTGCAGATTTTCCAGTAAACTTTTATTGTTCTTTTGCACTATTTTGCTTGGCTAAAGACAGAGATGCCTTCTCAAAAGCATACTGCTGTAAGAGCTGTCTTATATACATGTCCCTTTTGAGATAACACCTTCATTTTTCCAAAATGAGTAGACAAAGAAGGCAAAGATGACATCAGGAAGATAAATTAAGAGGATAGAGGAAAGCAGAGGGAAAAAATAAATGCTTTCAATTCTGTCAACTAACAGAAGAAATAATTTCCTGCTAGACAGGATTCAAAGAAAATAATTTTTTTAAAACTTTTATTCAAGAGAAATTATTTTAGCCAAAATAAAGAGGATTTAGATACCATATCCTGTACGAGATTGTATAACCCATTTTCAAGTATGAGCTCCAAGCAGCTGCATTACCTGTCCTACCATTGTTTCCCAGCATGGCCCTCTGGGGACATCAGCAGGATCCACCTGAATTGGAGGAGCAGTTGAATTCTCTGGAATTGTACCATTGTACAGACTGGCTTCCCATATTGTCATGTTATATTTGACTATCTTCTCTTCTTCCAGCTAAGGAAAAAAATAAATTGAGGGGGAAAAAATCAACATGAGCCTGTTACCAACCCTTTGTCTATTCAAAAATTCCCATTGCTAGCTTAGGCATGGATGGAATTTACAGCACAGAAAAAGAATGTCTTTCTCTGGTATGTCTGTGACTGGCTGGAGGTTCTCAATGTTGTCCAGATACATGCTAAACATAGTGAAAGAAAGTAAATATCTTGCCTTGAGGTTGATTTCATCCATTAGGGCGATGATGAAAGTGTAGAGATTGCCAAGAAAAAGAGCAAAGATTCTTCCCAGCTGCCATCTTAGAGCTATTCGAGGGTGGTAGTTTTCCAGAGAACTGATTACATCAAATAAAGTTGGACAGAACATTCCTAAAAGTGACATAACTGTGTTCACCTGAGGAGGGGGGGGGCAGAAAAAAGTTTACAGTGAAATGTTAGAAATAAATTATTTTATTGATCTGGGTGAAAAATATATTAGGATTACTACTTTTTATTTGGCTTTTGATTTAATAAAAGCCAAAATCCACTCGCGGTGTCTGTCGTTAAGAGAGAGAAGCCGGGTCAGAGAGAAAAAGTTTTTTCCACAAAGTCATCAGCAGCTCTTTATTATGCTGTGAACTTCAGGAAGAGGTGACAAAAAATATATTTACCATGGATATCACATAATTGCATGTAAACAATGTTCATCCCCTTAATGAATCTAGTCTAATGAAATTTTCTACAAAAGCAGCTTAATACTTTTAGGAATAATGTCAATTTTTAAATATTGCTGTTTGCCTTGTAGGTAGAAGCTGCACCTTTCTTTAAGTTGTATATTAGGTGCTAGGAATTTTTTCTGAGCAAATCCTAAATTCATATACTAATGATACAAACATAAGAAAATTTGATCTCCAAAATAAGAAAAATGTGTGAATTTCATTCAGAAGCCAAATATATTTATGAAACTAAATATTAATATCCAATCAATGGCAATTTTTTGTACTCAAAAATATGTTAATTATCTGTCAATAGGAATATTTTTTTAGCTAGATAACATCAGTGTTGTTTTAGCCACTCTCCTTTAGAGACACACTGCTCCAGATCTCAAAAGCATAGAAGCATAGACCTTAGAAAGACATTTTTATTATAGATATAAAAGTAAAATTATGAGCATAAAGACAAATGTTACCTACTTTCCAGATTATAACATAAACTTATAAAACAGCCTTTGGTAGCCCAGTTCTTATTAGTACAGATCTTCTACCACACCTTTAAACTGAGAGAAAGCTGAATTCCTCCAAGCTCTGTTGTCTCAGAGCTTGTGCTGCCTTAAAACAAGATGTTTTGTACACAATCTTTCCTTTCCCATAAAACTAAAATGTGATAACAAGTAACATAATTCACTCTCAACAGCCCTATTTTTCTGGATTCCAGAGGTGGATTATTTCACATTTTAATGTTACTTTCTCAGTCAGGCTTTGGTGTTGAAAATTCTGCATTTATTTTCCTTGTTCCATCATCACCATTAGCTTTATGAGGCTACCACCTTTTTGCCTTATTTTAAGTAAGGTATGCACTTTACAGTCCAGCTCAGAAGATGAGTTTGAAGTAACAAACTAGTTTTACAACATGCACAGTAGCATTTTTGCTAAGAAAGTAAAACCTTCCCAGGTTTTCATACGGCAGACTGATTTCAGGTGCATACTGTGCACATAGCAAACAAAACACCTCTGTCAGGCAGGCTGCATCTGCTTCTGAGGGCAGCATTAGGCACAGATTAGGCACAAAAAATATTGCACAGGACTCTTGGAGAGGGCAATTGGAGCTGGAAGGCATCAGTTTCAACCTGTTGCAGCATCAGAGTTACATCAATGAGGTTCCAAATAACTTCCTCTGTGCCCAGAGAGCAACCACTCTGCTTGGGTCAGTCTCAGGAGAAAAGCAAGAAGAGAGTGGGTTCCATGAAGAGATCTCATGAAACCACAGTGTGTCTGGAAAACGATCCTAAGAGCACAGAGGAGGAAATGTAAAGGCCTCAAATGAAGCTAAATACTAAGTGATGTTTGAAAGAAGCAAAGAAGAAATTTGATGAAGTAGGAATCAGAGAGACATAAGCAATTTTTTTGCTAAATATTTCCCACCCACACTCAGAGTATTTAAATTACTAGGGAAAAAAGGCAACATGCAAAGCAGAGGAACACAGTTTCAAACCACATCTATTATAGAAATGCACTAGCACGAACTTCATTTCTTTCCCACCACCCGTAGTTCTCCAGACCTTCCAAGGCAAATTTCTGGGATCTTCTGACAACAAAAAAGATGAGGTAGCCACTTCCAGCAAGTGTGCATAGGGCTAAGAAGTTAGCAAGAACCCTTAGGAATCGAGTCAAATGAATATTTTCTTCTTTTCGGCTCTCCTGCTCCTCCACGATTGCTTCCTGCACTTGTTAGAAAGAAAAGAATATTATGAATACTTAAATGGGCAAGGCCCCACAGTGCTTCCTCAATTGTTAGAAGTCAGTTAAATAAATAACAAAGATGCAAATGGACATCTGGGGTTCATGTTTTGAGATGAATGTACATTATCTCATAAAATCTTGTTCAGATCCTGGCAGATTCTGGATTTTTGGCTCCCCAGGGTTTCCTCAGCCTTTTTTGAGTGTGTCCCCGGTGAGTTTTGTTACACTTGTACTCATGTGTCAAAAAAAAGCTGCATGTTCTTTCAGCTTGCAAGGTGATACGAGGTTGAGTGATACAGCACAATAAATGTGTGATTATCTGTCAGAAAAGGAAATGTCATGCTTTAAAAATGTGCATCTGTGAGAAATGAGGAAAGCATTTTACTCTGAAAGTCAGAAAAAAATTAAAAAGTAGTTGAGATGTATGAATCCCAAAAAAAATTCGAACGTGCAGAGCTTCAGACTCTGTTCTTCAGACTTCAGAACAAAATGTTTGCCCCACATTTACCCTTGATCATAACTGATAAATATTAAGACTCTAATTGAGTCTAATATGAACTCCTGTTTTTACTTTTGACAGGTGAAAGAGCTTTTGGTCTGGAGTGTCTCCATGAAAGGAAGTTTTGTTATAGCTTCTGACTTTGGTATAGAGATCAGCTGTCCAGAGGGGAAGCACCTTTTGCAGCTCTGCTCCTTTTACAGCATGTGTCTGTCGCATAAATGACTGGAGACAGCAGCAGCTTTCAAACAAAACTTCCATGGACTCACCCAAGCCAAGACTTCTCTCTTTCTTTCTGAGGTTCCTTGCTTGTTTGCAAGGTTTACAATAAAGTTTCATAGGTTTATTTCTTGAAATTAAGCCTTTTTCTCAACTTATTTGTGTTCTTTCCCAAATAGCTTTCAGCATCTGCTCTTAGGAGGCAGGCAGAGAAGCTGATACAGATTCAGTGCTTTCAATCCATGTTTCTCCACTATTTGCTTTTTTGGAATCTTCTCTGTATGGCTTACACTTGAGGGCAGTTCTCTGCTATGCCTGCAGCTGAGGAGTGGGCAGGGTGAGGGGGTGTGGTGGCTGTTCCACCACTGAGGACAGGAAAGATAAAAATGAGCAGAGCAGGCAGTGCTCAGTGCTCCAGCTCCCGTGGTGTCACACCTGACAGTGTGACTGCAAGCCTGGCATCTTCCTCACTGCCTCACAACTCTTCTTGGCCTGCCCATTCCCTGTACATTGAATGTTAAATCTTCCTTTGCCTGCTACACTGGTGTGTCCCAGCCACCCTAGAGCACAATCACATCCTTTAACATTCAACATACAGAATATATCCCCTTCAGTGTTTTCACAGCCCTGCGTCTTAGGTCTTGCCCCAGATTCGTTACAAAATTACTCTTGAAATCAGAATTACTCTTGAAACCAACATACCCTATACACTGGAAAGAACACTGCCTTGCAAATTGGGCTATATTTTGTAATTAATTTGAAAATAAAAGCATTTTCTTACTGAAAAGCAAGTATAAACTCAAAATTCTGGGGCCAGTTCTTCTGATAAATAGCCCTATACAGATTATTGTATAATTTTGTTTTAATAATATCTCTTCTTTGCAACAAGAGAAATTGACAATGTGAGGTTGGCAAAAGGGGAGCAACATTTCAAAAAAGGATTTTAAGACAAACACCATAGAAACTGGAAGTCATCAGAGATGAGAAAAAGTAAAATACTATTTTTACAGTAGAATCAGTTTTCTAAAACTGGTACTGTCTACACGGAGGATACAAAAGATGCTAACCTTATTTCTTTCACAATTAAAAAGAAAAGAAATCTGAAGGCAAAACGCAGAGACCTAGAAGCATGTACAGATGACAGCTGGAGTATGAGGCTCAGCACGTGTAACTCTTGTCCTTAATTCCATCTGATTCCCACCAGTGTTAAGGCCAAATCGTGGTCCCTCTCCTTAGTAAACTCTGTTTTACCTTAAAGCTTGTTGTGATGGAGGCAAACTTATTATCTGCTGTCTCAGGATTGCCAATCAGGTAGTCCCAGCTTGTGAACATTTTCCAGCTGAAATTAAAACTGGTGTCATCCCCGCCACCATCATCATTTGCATTCTTTGCCATTCTACAAAGACACAAAGACACGGGAAGACCTTGTTGGCAGTAGTTCTGCTTTGTGGGCATGACTTTTAAATGGTTCCTAAGTTCTAACATTTTTTCTAAAAAAAATTCTACATCATTCTTGATGTCAATTATGAATCTTTCTTTCTGAAACAAGTGTATAAGATGGAGATTTTCATATTTAGACATATGAAATATGAGCTCACCATCCACATTTTGATGAGAAAGAATGAATTTACTTCATTAACCTCTCAGAGAAACCCTACTGGATAAGAAGCTTAATAGAAAAGCAATATTGAGAACATCTCTTAAATAGAAAGGTACAGGGCATCCTGAACTGTAATAGACTTTATCAGAGTTCACAAATAGAAAAAGAAGAAAAAATCTAATAAGAAAAAGATTCTAAAATAACAATAAACAAAATAAATACATAAATAAAACAAAAGAAATATAACAAAGAGTGTAAGAAATATTCTAAAACAAGACAGAAGAAAATGTGGTTATAACATATAAAGTAGCACTCGTACAGCTATGTTCCTTATCACCTCCTATGCACATACAAAAATATTTACTAAAGTGTCCAGAAACATCAGATTATTTCTTCAGAGAAGTATTTCTTCAGATTAAACTTAATCTTGTCTTCAAAGTTCTCTGTTTAAAAGGGGTTTCATTCATGTAATTACTGTGGTATCGCTTTGCATACTTTGTCACCTAATTCAAGACATTAAACACAAGGAAAGAGTGTACTGATAAGGTACAAATCACATAGTCTTCCGTATTTCTGGTCAGCAAAAAGGCAACACATTTTAAATCTCAATAATACAACAGAATTGTTATTAATATTAATACATTCTATGTACCACATTTTTAAATGTCCAATAAAAGACATGCTCTGAAATCTAGGATGAGAATAGTAAGTAAATAACACTGAAAATCTTTCTGAGATGCCAAAAATCAATACCAGGGTTGTTCATATCCAGAGGAGTCAGAGATCAAAACAGATTCTTGGAAAAATCTGTCCTGCTTCTGGTTCATAGACTGAGACATTTCCTTCTCAAGATTTTCTAATGAAATAATGAAGATCCTTGTGGTTAGAATATAATTTCTTTGAGATCAGAAATGTTCCAATTTTATGTTATACACTGCAAGAGCTGAAGAGACGAGCCCTACCTCTAAATATTTCCCCTAAATAAAATAATATTACTTATAATCCTAACAACCTCTTTCACACAGAACTTTCTCAATTCTCAGTCAACAGCAGAAAAATAATAGAACCTCCTGTTAAACTGCTTTTAATTTCTGTGCTCACTGTGCTTCTTTCTGGAAAAATAGAAGAGAACAAAAGACTGCAAGAATTTCCATATGATTACCTAAACACTGGTCGTCATTAGTGTCATATGGCCAGATGGAAATTTAGAACATACAATGTATTTTCTTCTCAAGGATATTCCTTTGTTTTGGAATGTTTGTTTTTTTTTGTCTGAGTGAGAGTCATTGAAATAAAATTGTCTAAGACTTTTCTAATCTTGGCAGTTGTTACTAAATTAAATATTAAAACTATTTTAAAATAGAGTTTTCAACTAAATCAGTTGCTGTTTTATTGTACCAGTTTGTTTCCTCCCCAAAAATACATATCTGTGACTGAAGACTTCGGGGGTTTTTTCTCAAATTTTTCTTGTCTTATGCAGGAGCCCAGTTTGAAAGCAGAACATGAATTTATCTAGTGCTCATGCAAGAGAAAAATACTGGCTTCAGAACAAAACAAGGTAAATACACTAACTGCTTTTCTCTATGTTTAAAAGCGTCTTTGAATCTTGAACTCCAAGCTTATTTTTTTTGCTACCACTGCTAGAGCTGACTGTACTACTGTGTTAGGTGGTCACCTTCCTTGAACCAAAGCTATCAAAGATTATATTACCTGGCAGCCTTTACTGTGGACTGTGAGCTACATGCAGAATTATTTTCCATATGCTTCTTTTTTGTGTTCTTCCTTCGTGAAAGAATTTAACTCACATAAAGAACCACTAATTAATAATTACTGAATTTCTTGGATTTTAACTGAAATTCTGCTGGATGTCAAGTATTATGAAAAGATGGGCTTACAGATCTCTTCCTCACTTTATGCATTCATTTTTAATTTTGAATTTGAGAAGTGTTATAGAAGAAGATTTATTCCCACTTTCACAGCACTGTAACACAGCTCCTGGTCAAGATGAACAGATAAATAAAGCTTGAAGGTGTCTTACGTAACTTTGACCTTGCACCTGATCTTGCATTGTCCTGTCCTTTGGATCAGTGCATTTTTTAAAAAATACTCCAGGATAAATGGTGGAATGACCTGTCTTTCTGAAAGTGCTTTTTTCCAGATCTAAGGAGAACTTACGTTCGAATGACAATCATAAAGCTATAGCCAATGGACCCAACTCCAACAAGGAAATATGAAAGAGGCATCCTGAACTTGAGCCACCCAATTGTCCTCTGGTTGTTGTAATAACCATAAAAAAGTACAGAATACTGTGCAAAGCCCTGAAAAGTAAAAAAAAAAAAAAAATATATATATATAATGTTACTTTTCTCAATTATACACAATCAGTAAATTAATCAATAGCGAAGTATTAAAACATTCACTTCAGTGAATTCAAATCAGTTGCAAATATCACTATAATAAAGCTCACAGGATAGAAAATGTGTCCCTTTATTTTAAAAAGACATAGAATATTGCATAGCAACTTCAAAATCTTTTAAAACTGTTCATTAACAATCTGTCTGTAATTCAATGAATTAAAACTTTTTTATCAACATGCTTCTTGCAAAAAGAGAAATACATTATTTTACAAAATTTATTTTTCTGTTACTTGCAGATAAAAACCCATATTTTTAAATTAATTTTCACCTTTCTAAAATGTGTTTGCATGAATTTGATATGAAAATCTCATATGTCTTTTTTGTCTAATAACAGTTGTCAGCTGTTCATTGGGTGATTGTTCAATATATATGATAACCAATAGGTAGGGACATTTTATGGGTGATTATCAAGTATGTAGATCATTTGCACACTTAGACTCAATTCCAAAGCTCTGTCTTTCTCAGCAATTCAAAGTCTGTCTTCTTTTCTAAATGTCTTAGTATGAATTACCCTCTCTTCTACTGGTCAGAGAGACAATTTTTCAAAGTCAGTTACTAGTACCTTATTAACTGTAAGAAATTACTGCAATCTACATGGATCAAATAGCTAAAATTTCCTGGTAATTCTCAGGTTAGTGCAAGAACTCATCTCCTAGAAGAAGACCAAAGCCAGAGCCTATACCAGGACAGCACAGAAGTGGCAAACCTCCAGCTGGATGTATGAATTCCATGTGCAATATGAAGTATTTGACTGCATAATTGGAGGATAGACCATACATAATTTTGACAGTAATACAACAAGATGAAGGGTTGGTAAATTAAGAAAACATTTGCTTCCTGTTTTTCAGTTGCCCACTTTCCTTAAAATTAGTAACATCTTTCTCTTACTTGCTTTTTCAAAACATGTACTTGATTTATTGAAGCTTTTATTGCACATGAAGTGAGTCAGAGGCTTATTTGAGAAACCTATTAACAATTCTAAGCTGAAAATCAAATATTAATATACAGCACACATAAATATTATTCAAAATATCTTGATCCACATATCTCATTTTTCTTCATCTCTGGCTAGATTTATGTGCTTATGCATAACAGATAAAAATATCCTCGTCTCTAATAAGGCAAGTATTCTAATAGAGCACATTTCTTGCTAAGTACTAGTAAAACATCTTCACCAGTCATGTCACATTCAAATTCAATATAAAACAGTATGTATATTGCATATTTTGGTCACTAAAGCATCCTATAATTCCATTTTACCGCAGGTTTCAATACAGCCTAATGCAGCTCTGGAGAGCCTTTTGGGTCCTCAAAATTATTAAAATGCTTTTATACTCTCTGTGTTCTGGAAGTCAGGGATAATTCCTGCTCTGTGTATCAATCAGTTTGTTGATTCCACAGCACCTCACCATAAGATTAGAAATAACTTCAACTCAGTAAAAGTAGGCATGCATGGAAGATCTCTTTAACTCCTCTCTGAGTCTAACATAAAAGACTACTGATTGAATGTGCAATAAGACTTGAGACTCTAATATTTTATGACTGGATTTTAATCTGAAAACTGTATGTTAAAACTGAATTCCACGTAGAATATATCAAAATCCAGATGTGCTTCGCTTTGCCATGTCAGTAATGTGAATACAAAATTTTGAATACAAAAGAAAGCAGAATAGGCATACTGTGCTCATCTTCTTTATTTGTTTTAGAGAGTGGTGGGGTGTCATGATCCATTTATAAAGAGATGTCTCTGCCCAAAATAAGGTAACCATACTCTGAATCATCAGTAGAGGTTTTATTTAACAGTGAGTGTGAGGGGGAGAGAGGGAGAGAGACAGAGAGAGCGAAAGAGATGGGAGAGAGGGGCTGTAAGAGACAGAGAGAGAGAAAGAGATGGGAGAGAGGGGCTGTAAGAGACAAAGAGAGCAAAAGAGATGGGAGAGAGGGGCTGTAAGAGACAGAGAGAGAGAAAGAGAGATGGAGACAGAGACAGATTAAGTAGAAAGATGCTGCCAGTAGAAAGACACCACTATCACCACCAGGATTCATGTGGCATTCTGCCAGCCTGGCCTTCTTCACCCCACCCCTGGCTGGGGTCCCAAGATGTTCTTCTGTGGTATCACCTTTAAACAGTCCAAATTCCAGGTATCCACGAGGATATTCCTGTAACTTGGGATGGCATATGGATAAGCACTTGCTTATTTTCTCACATTTTTCCACAGTAGGAATTTGTTCAGGTTCAGACAAGCCTTCACCCCTGTTAGGCCTGGAATTAACTCTTTCCTACTGCAGCATCTGTGCTTATCTCAGATTCCATTATGTTGGCTTATTTTATGGGGACAGTGTTTCCTGCTGCATTTTTTAAGTCCTTACATAGGGCTAGGAGTCCTTTGGGTTTTGTTTAAGATAAAATATTGATTGGTGATGTGTGATTATCATTTATTTCTAATTTATCTGGTAGCATAGCATTGCTACCAGATGAAAGGTACTATTTACGGTGTTGTTTAAACAAAGCTGTCATTGTCTTCAGGGAATATTTGTCAATCTGACAGGCCTGAAGAAAATTATTTTTTTCTCTCAATATTTCAGGGGATCCATCTTTTTCACTGCCTTATTCTGTATTTATTATGTTTGCATTTGCTTCTTCTGTTAACTGCTACATTGTTATTGTACCTTCTTCTGTCAGTTTCTGATAGTTATTAAAAACTTTCCCTGTCTTTCCACCATGCCTTCTTCCATGTTCTCTCAAATACATTTATTTTGCAAGCTTTGTTCTTATATTCTAATGATATACATATCTTTATATATATAAAAGATAAATACATATTTTATGAACAAAGTTCTTCTAACCTATTCTCTTTACAAAATCTTCAAGTTACTATAATTCCTTCTTTTTTTCCAATATCTCCCTGATGTTTTTATTTCTCATTTTATAATTTCATTATCATTATATAACTTTCCAGCCACATGTTTACATTTATTCTGTCACTCAAATATGTAACTTCTGATGCACTAGATGCAACATAATTTCATTAAGTAGTCACTATAAAATTTTATATACATGGGTTTTTAGAGCAATCTTCCAGTCCTTTTGTTATCCAAGGTTTGTATGGTATGTAATCAAAGGGATAAAATGTAGCTCATTATTATTTTTAATTTACTTTCCTCTTTTTTTCCCTAATTCATACTGCATTTTAAAATTCAGAATCTTAATCATATAGAAGCAGAAGACCAAATTTACACTTAAGAAATGGAAATACAGTACCCCAGAATGGCAAACCAGCTTTGAGATATTTCCCTATGTGTTTGGATTGCTACATATACTGAATACCAATGTTTGTGAATATCAAGCTTCATTATGTGTTTTGTCTGAAAGAAACATCTATACAGAGAGCTCGTGGAAAAAAAAAAAAATTAAATTAATTCTCTTGTGAATTATCTCCTGAAATACTTCATATTAAAAAACTTAACATTAAATATGAAGTAATTGTAGATAAAAGTCACGTAGATATGCAATATTGCAAGATTATGCACTTACACTAAAATCCCAGAGAGTAGCAAAATTCATAGCAGTTGCTTCTTCAGCTCTTGGGACAGTTTTTCTAGGCAAAGAGCCATATGGCTTACCCATCAAAGCCTGAAACCAAAAAATGAGAGAGATTTATATTTTAAAGCAAAATAGGAGCAAAGGAAATGGACAGTGATCTGTCATGTCTTTGAGAGACTGGTTTTATGCTCCTAAACTCTTTAATGAGAATGACCTAGTTCTACAATTCCTTTCACTGCTCCTCACATTACTGATGGAAACTATGCTTAGCATGTGCGTTCAGTGGTGTGTTCTAAATTTAGAGTTCCAATGTATCAATGTATCAATGTATCAATCAATCAAACCCTTAGTATCAATGGGTTGCCAAACTTTGCATCTTCCATTCGAAGGCAACGCAGAAGTCCATCCATATTTCTCTGAAGAGGAGTGTTCATCTTACAAAGACCAAAAATATTAAATTGTCATGCATTATGGATTTTATTGGGAGATTTTTAAATGAAATGTACGAGAAGATGTTAGGGAATCAGTTTTTGGATTCTGACAGTTCCCATGCTGCTGGCAAGATGCTTATTCAGGCACAGTACATCTCCTCTTGGGGTCCTTTCCAGGCTCACCCTGAAAACAGTTGGACATTCATTCTGTTTTGGTTTCTCAGGAAGATTGCAGAATGATAGAATATGCTGAGCTGAAAGGTACCCACAAGGATTATTGAGTCCAACCCCTAGCCCTGCAAAAGATCATCTACAAGAGACACACCATGTGCCTGAAAGTACTGTCCAAAAACTTCTTGAATGCTGTGAGACTTGGAGCTGTGGCCACTTCTCTGGGGAGCCTGCTCCAGTGCCCAACCATCAGGGTGAAGTGCATCAGGGTGAAGAACCTTTTTTCTGATGTATAACCTAAACCTTGCCTGACACAACTTCATGACATTCCCTTGTTCCCAGTCATTCATCACCACAGAGAAGAGATCAGTGCCTGCCCCTCCTCTTCCCCTCATGAGGAAGTTGCAGACTGTTTGAGGAATCTCCTCAATCTCTTCTTCTTCATGCTGAGCAGACCAAGTCACCTCAGCTGCTTCTCATACTGTTTCCTTTCAAGGCCGTCCATGATCGTTTGGATGCTCTCTAAGAGCTCAATGTCTGTTTTATACTGTGGCACCCAAAACTGCCCCCAGCACTCGAGCTGAGGTCCCTTGCCTGGCTGGAGATGCTGGCCCTGATGCCCCCCAGGACACGCTTGGCCCTCCTGGCTGCCAGGGCACTGCTGGCTCCTGTTCAACTTGTCACTGACCAGGACCCCCAGGTCCCTTTCTGCAGCGCTGCTCTCCTGTCTCTCATTCCCCAGTCTGTGGGTACAGCCAGGGCTGCCCTTCCCAGGTGGGCAAATTTCAACTTTCCCCTGGTGAACTTCACATGGCTGGTGATTGCTCAGCGCTGTAATTTGCTGAGATCTCCCTGTAGGGCCTCCCTGCCTTTGTGGGAATCAACAGCTCCACTCTGTGAACTCGCATAGTATCTCTTCAAGTCCTCTCTCCAAGGCATTTATGAAGACACCAAAGGAACCCCCACTGGTGACAGGTCACCAGTCTGATGTCACCCCATTCACTGTCACCCTTTGTTCCTGACCTGTGAGCTGGTTGCTCACCCACCCCATGATGTGTTTATCCAGCTCTGTGCTGGACATTTTATCCAGAAGGATACTGGGAGAGAGAGCATTTACTGAAATCCAAAAAGATTACATCCACTAACTTATTTGGTTGCTTTGTTATAAAAGGTTCACAGGTTTCACAAGCAAGACTTTCCTCTTACAAAGTCATGGTGGCAGTGACCCACTGCGTTGCTTTCCAGGTGTTTTTCAATACCTGACGGAAAATTCTTCCCCTTAACTTTACCAGCCATTTAAATGAGACTGACAGGCCTGTAGTTTCTGGAGTTCTCCTTCTTGCCCTTCTTGAAAATCAGAGCAACATTGACAGCATTCAGTCAGTTTGGACACCTTCTAATTCCCAAAAACACTCAAAAAATCATTGAGAGATGTTTTTGCAATGACATCAGATAATCAATACCACCAAATCCTATAGATTTGTAGGGGTCAAGCTGGAGGAATCATGCTACTGGTTGGGCTGGGAAGTTGTTGGAAAATCCTACCTGACTCTTTTTTATCTGCTTACTACAAAATGAGAAAGATAAGAGGAATACAGTCTATTGAAGTCAGGGAGATGGCACAATAATTTTAATTCCATAAAAGCCCTGCATTCTCTGGCGGGTCAGAGAAACTTGGGAAGTATTACCTTTCATAGACGTAATTTATGTCTGAGTTGAATATCTGCTCTAAGTACTTCTTAACAGAGGTGTTACACAGAGGAAAATATGAGAGATCTCTCCTGACTTCACAGCCCTGTTATGCCTTATCAGCATGTGAGTATTGGATCTGAAAGGATCCTTTGAGCCCCAGGACTGCATCTTTCTATTGTAATGCACATTTAGTGGAGACAGTCCCCCTGGCTTTTGGTTCCTCTACTCTGTTATGCACACAACCACCAAAAACAAACAAACAAACAAACAAACAAACAAACCCACCCCTCCAGATAACAAAAAAAACCCCACACCTAAGTAATCCCAGATTTCAAAAACCATTTCAGAAGATAACCCTAAATATATTTTATATTTTCCTGTCCTGTCTAATTCAAGACATATCTCTGTAGAGAAAACTGTCCACAAAGGAAGCCCATCTTTACAGGCTTAGTACCACCTAATACTTGCAAGTGAAGCATAGAGAGAATAAAAACTTGTTTAAAGCTCCAGTCCTATGAAATATCACTGCAAAGACAGAAATCCACATGGTAATCCTCAAAGATAATTTAAAAGATTCCCACCTCAGGCACCATTACAAGACCACAGGTCAGTCCAAAGAGAATCATGTTTATTCCATACATCCAACGCAAGAATATGAAATAAGATGCTACTGATGAACCAAAGTGACCTGTAAAACATGAGATGTGATAAAAAGTCAGATGAGCTAGTACTTTAGCGTTATTTTATCTAAGGATGCACAAAATTTATTTTAAAAAAGTAACCAGGAGAGGTTTTTATACATTTGATTGATTCTAATTTTAAGTTAATTAAAATTCAAATTCATTTTAAATTTAATTAATTTTAATTTTATTTTTTCATTATCACTATAATTCTAATAATTTTTTCTCATATTGCATACTTGCAATATCTTGAGCTGGCTGAGAAAACAGAAACAAATTTATAAAAGTATTAGTTAAATGGAGTATTTAGGGTCATATAGAAGCTGGTGTATTTGTTTTTATTGAGTACTCTCTAGAAGTATGTTTCAATTATTTTGATATTTTTTTTTCTCTGTTGTGGATTTTAAGCTTTCTTGACATGCTAAGCCAGAACCAGCCCAATTTTAATAGGAAGCAGCTCAGAATTAGTCAGTTGGTAAAGTCTTTCCAACACAATAAAACACTTGCCAGTGCTGTTGTAAGAGCACTCACCAGATTTTTTCACAAGAGACAATGAACATTATCTGCAAGTGTTTATAGCCTTTCTTTCTCTTTCTATCCTGTTTATGTGCTCTATCTGCAGCCAGGTGTGCAGGCAGTCCCATCTCTAGGTGTAGGATTTGACCTCACACACTCCAGCCCCCTGACCCAGACCTGTGCACAGATTAGAGGCTGCAGGGGAGGTACTGAGAACCAAGGACCTGATTTGACCCACACTCTGCAAGTCAAGGCAAACAAAAATAAAAGCTCAACTTCAAACCCAGCTTCCTTCAGCATAGTTCTGCTGACTATAGGAGAGCTGCCAGTTAGAAAAGTACTAAATTTTATATCCATTACTAGTCATTTGCAGGGGAAAAAATAACCTTTTAATTAGATTTTCACACAAAATCTAGTTTGGGAGCCTGAAGCACATTGATAGCAAATAAAAAGTAAATCTCTCTGTTCAGAGAGACTTACATTGTTATTTCCAAGCTCTTTTGCAGACATGTTACATGTTCTTTAGGTCTGTAATATTAAGTTAATACGTCTTGTGTTATTTGGGATGTATATATTCATATTTTACTGTAACAGCTCAATCAATAGAAAATTTTATACACTTAAACATGTATAACCCCAAAGTATAAAAAGAAGCTGGTTAAGAGACACAGCTGTGCAAAGGGAGGAACAAGCCATTCTGTCAAGAATTCAGCATTTTGAATCTGCTTTATTCACCATTTAGAATTAAACCATCATTTTGAAGTTTTGCATGAAGTGGCCAATCTTAGCAGTGACTGACATACTGGGAAGAGGCATAAATCAGAGACTTTGAGTTAGTCTGTCTGGTTCTGAGATGCAGTTATAACCAAACTACACCTTTTGGGGATGCTATGGACCCAAAAAATACAGCGCAGGAAATTATGAATATTTCTGGTTAATCAGGTTAATCTGATTAATATCAGGTTACATTTGTAGACCTCTCCATGCCCCATTTCTTTTGCTCAAATCCTAATATATCCCTATTGTATTGGGAATGACTTTTTTTCATGCACTGAGTACTTGAATCAGTTTTCCTGATGAAACCTCTGCTATCCATCTGCATCCATCCGGAACATCTGCAGGGATGCAATGCATTAGCATCACTGCACCAGAATAGTTATTGCAAGCCAATGCACAGACTGCTCATGGGCATTATTCTTTTTCACCAATCAGGCAAGAGCAGACACCTCTGGTAAATAAAAAGTTAACTATGGATGAGGGTAATTTAGCCATGACTGTCCTCAGCTGCCTTTTCACAGTGAGCAGGTCCAAATAGGGACCTGCAATGGGGAACATGGAAAATGTCACAAATGGACTACACTAGCTGTGAACAAAACTAGTCCAAGTTTCACCAGTATTTTGAAGTCACTCTGAGGTGCAACATGTTCTGTATGTGAATAAAATAGTTTTAAGTAGACTTTGGCCATATTTTCCTGCATCCACAGCCTCGCCGCACTTGGCATTGGCATGCAGATTGGTGTGCATTTTATAAATTTCATCAGCGGAACAGGAGTCACCCTGTCCCAAGAGAGGTCTGTGTGATTCCCATAAAGTCCTTTAGCACAGATAATACTGAATATCTGTTCTGTGAAAAAAAGAAACATCTGTTTTCTAAATATAAATACTTCATACATGTGTTCACTTCTCTTTTAAACATCAAAGCCCCAGCATCAGATTCACCTGTTGCCAGCTGAGGTGCAGCACAGCAGAACTTGATGACCTTTACTCTGGAGTCTGTCTCCCTGTGCTAGAAGGGTCTTGCATCTTGAAGAAGGGAGCCTACCTGAGATATCCCAGTGCTTCAAGCTGTTATCTGATTTTTCTAGACAGCTGGAGGACTGGAAGATTCAGGCTCAACTGGGAAAGGCTCTTTATGTTGCACTGAGAAGCATTTATTGTCAAGGGAGCCTAAGTGGCAGACCTTCCCTTAGGTATCCACAGACATAAGTCAAATCTCCTTCAAAGAAAGGGCTGCAGTTTAAAGTTGATGCTGGAACTGCAACACAAAACTGATGTGTGACAGACCCCTACTCTCAAAATATACCCCGAGTATTAACTATGGACATTACATAGTACATGCCTCGTTTATATATGGGGCATCCAACACCAGTGCTTGTTCTCTCTTTGTTTTATTATGTGGCTGACAATGAGAAAAATACAACTTACATGAAGCTTAAGGTAATGAAAAAAGTGGCAGAAATAATTTCTGTATAGCCTATATAGTATAATTTTTATAAAATAAATATAGACAAAATAAAGTGAAAGTGAATAAAGTCAATGGCTAGATCCCAATTACACTTTTCCAGGATTAATTTCAACACTAGCTTTTTAACTGTTAACTGTAGAAGGACAAATTTTATCTGTAAAGTGATACTCTCTAAAGAAAATTTTCAACTAGTTAATCAAGCTCAATAAGTATTAATGAAAAAATAAATACTCACTGATTTTAAACTATGCATTGAATACAGACACATATTCTAAAGAAATTTATCACTTTGGCAGACATCAGAAATATGATACTACATCCTATTCTTACTCACTTACTTTCAATCTCCTTAATTTTCATTTCCCAGGGTATGCAGGCTGTCTTAAAATTTTCAAAATCTCTTTGAAATTTCATCCATTTCTGAAAAGAGTCACAGAAAAGAAAAAACAAAAACCACACCATCATCTCAGTGCCCAGATGCTCAGTTCTTCCTTGTGCTAATGTTACCCCTTAATCATCCACAAAATCCACTGGCAGAGTCCAAAAGTAATTGTTTGTGAAGAGGATTTTCCTTCTGTATTTTTTTAATATATCTTCTACTAAATTTGTGTGAAGTCTTATCCTTTTTTTTCTTTTTCTTTTTTCTTTTTCCTTTTTCTTTCTCTTTTTTTTTCTTTTTTGCTTCACTTTCTCCTTTTTCTTTTTTCTTTTTTCTTCTTTTTTTCTTTTTTCATTTTTTCTTTTTTCATTTTTTCTTTTTTCTTTTTTCATTTTTTATTTCTCTTTTACCTTTTTTCTTTTTTCTTTCTCTTTTTTCTCCTTTTTTGTTTTTATTTCTTTTTTCTTTTTCTTTCCTCTTTTTCTTTTTTCTTTTATTTTTTCTCTTTTTTTCTCTTTTTTTCTTTCCCTTTCTCTTTCTCTTCATCTTTTGCAGAGGGATGTCTCAAGGGAAAGACTGAACTTTGGATTCAGTCCACACAAATACCTAATCTACACCAAGATAAATTAACTTTCACAAGATACTGAACTCTTGCAAACTCCTGTAAAACAGCTGACTTTTGTTTTGATGACAAGTTTCAAAAAATCAAACTGCAAGCTTTCATTAGAAGTATTTTCATGAAAGAATGGTGAAATAAAAGTTTAAAATCCATAGGAAGACAAGGGACACTGCTGTGGGAGATGAGCACCCATGGCAATATTTTTCAGGTTTCCCATCAGCTTCACAGGAAGTTAGTGAAACTCAATTTACCTTAGTCATCATCACTTTGTATGCATAGAATTTTTTTCCTTTTCCTTTTCCAAGAGCACCTTCAAACTTTTCAACAAAAAGCTGTGCTTCCCTGGAAAATGAGGGCAGAAGACAGATAAAGATTATGTTACAGCACATTTTACATTATCTCTATCACATTAATTTCTTTACTCCTCATAGAACTTCATAAAATCTTGTTCCCTTAGTAATTCTAGGAAAGGAAAGCTCTGAGATTTTTGATTTTGCAGAATACTATATATGTAATGTATCTGTAATGCAAAAATACAAGCAACTTCAGTCACCTGACCTAATACAAACATATTTTTGGAGCCCTGAGACTTGCATATGTCCAGTCAAGGTTACCAAATATGTCCAGTCCCCATAAGTCAGTAAACTGACTTTTGCACTTCAGCTATTGTCCATTTATGGGATGCACAGTTACTCCTGTTATTCCAACAGTCACTCTGACAGAAGAAAGAAGGATTTTCACGGGGTGCTGCAGATTCTTGGTAGTAATCACCTTTCTTGCTTTCTCTAATCCTTCACTTTTTCCTATTCCACTAATTTCTTCCTTGCTCTCTTCTTTGATAGTGAATAAAAGTGAATTATCATTTTGATCACCAACATCATTTGTGTCTTGCTCTGGATATGTTCAAAACTCCCTCTCTGTGTTCACAGCTTAGGATGCATTCCCAGGCTGGGACAGATATGTGTGCACTAGAGCTTTGGTTCCCTAGTGCCCACCTTCTCAGTACTACATTTAAATTAGCTCTTCTGAATTTTCGCATACATCTTCTCTAGCTGTACTATTCCCAGAGTAATTTCTTTGAAATGCAGCTTCACTGGTCCCCAAAAGGCTAAAATTTTGCCAATAGAGATACATAAGTCAAACAATATAAAGATGAAAGGAAGACTTTTAAACTCTTTATATGAAGAGATGAGATCAAGTGCATACTAATACTAATCTTTCCTCCATTTAATCCAATTTCCATTTATTGTTTTCCATAATGTCTCTCCTGAGAAAATGTGTTCTAAAGGCTAAATGCCCTAAACCACTGGAAAACAGACTAAGGATTCTTAACTGTCACTGTATTCACAATGCTGCCAAATGTTTTGTTGTCACACTGGACAGCTTCACAGCACACAATTTACAATGTAAAAATAAACAAAAATTATGATGTTTATTATTGTTTTGTATTGCATAAAGCATCTGGGAAAAGCTAGGTAATTGGGGAAAGTACTAATTGTGATGCATAAGATTGTGATGCACATTTCTTTTTTTCCAGAACTGCTAGAGATAAGTTTACCAAGTGAAATTATTTATCATGCTCATATTTTCTGCTCCTATATTTTATACAAGAAAGGAAAAAGATAGAGTTAAACTGCAAAATCTGGCAGTGTTAATGGCAGTATAGCAGTTTAGTTGGGATAAGGGAGAATTGAAATTACATCAGAAGATGGCCATTAGCCATGTGAAAACTTTTCTAATTTAATAACATTAAAAATCTCAACATCTGTGAAAGTAACTGTTTATTTTTAGTAACTGCAACAGGTTAGGGTGATCTTCAGCCTGAAGATCTATCAATGCCTTTCTCAAAAAATTTAGCTTGCAGTACCAAGGATCCAAATAAGTGCACGTGTGGGCTCAAAATTGAGTTACTGAATTCAATTTTCAGTCATTGAGAGCTTTCCTTGGGAGCCCTCTGAGCACTCTCTCATTCCAAGTCTTTTCACCCAAACACAGCTGGTTTGGGCCAGGGCAAGTTCACCTGACCTTCTCAGGACCCCTGCATGCCTTTTCCAAACATTTTAAATTATGAATGCTAACCTAAGCACTTCTTTTTTTTCTCTTTATAGCACAAGGAGAGCAAAGATTCAGATTCGAAAGGATAGAAATACCCAGCCACCCCCACAGCCACAGAACCAACCTATTCATCACCTCAAAAGTGTTCCCTGAGGATCAAGTCAGTGTCCTTCTAAGGGTGTAGATCCTTTGCTTCCAGTCCTGTGCTTCTGGATCACATTTGTATTCTGTATTTTTAAGTCTGATCTTTTTGTATTTAGCTAAATATATCGACACTGACTGGGGATTCTTTATTTCCCAAGCCATTCTAAGTCTTCCAGAGATTTTACAGCACACTGCTCACATATCATTTCTTCATTTTGATTCTCAGAAAAATCTACAATTAAATTTCAGCCCTCCCAAGTAAGTCAGATAAAATAGATTGGTTCAGCTTCAGGAAACCTGTGCCCAAGGGTCGCCTTTAAACCCAAGCCTCAGGATCCAAAATCTTGCTGCTCTGTCAACAGATATAAGGGAGTCCTGACAGCAGATGGCAGCTTCCTCCTAAATTCAGCAGTCAGTGCTGGAACCCTGCCATAAAAGCAGGCAGACTCAATAAACTGCACACCTATCCCCAGGGCAGCATACTATATTTTACTACCAACTCTATCACTGGGTAACTCAGGCTTGTTCAGGAAAATTTTCTGAAATCAAAATCTACAGAGTAGAAAACTTGTGTTTTCAGTCACTATTTTCAAATTTCAAATTTAGAAATTTTGAAATTTTGAGAGTTTTTCAGTGAAGGGATGTTAGAAATTTAAGGACGTAATATAAAAACAGCAATAAATACAATAAAAAGTCCTTGATAGCATATATGAGTACATTTTGCACCTATAAGTGAAAGACTCAAGCTCCCCACAAACTTGTTCTGATATAAAATAAAGTTAAGCCAAAACAGGAAGGAATTTTCCACTCTCAAATTCAAAAAAAATATTTATCTTAAACCTTTTTTGACTTGTTTTAAATTAATTTTGAAAGGTTTGATACTAAGACTAGGTTTTTTTTATTCTCATCTGCCTCCTGGACCCCCACCAAGCAATCTTTTAAGTGTTAGCAGCATCTAAGCTTTTTGTTTCCAGGACAAACCAAAAAAAATTGCTTTATGAAGGTGGTGATCTGGACCTACAGATTACATCCTGCTGATGCTCCTGAATGCTTCCCTGGATTCTGCTTTTCCAGTGGCTGAAATTTTCTCTCACCTTTGCCCCTCTTCCTCCCTAAGTGTTTTGTAACATATTTTTCTGATTTATAACCTATTTAACTGATTTTCATCCTGTTTCCCTGCACTGGTCTTAAGTTCATCTTTGCATCACAATCAACCATTCCTTACTGAGTGGTTACAGGTGCAGTCAACTGAGTTGCACAATGAAGACTGGACCAAAAAAACCTGTTGGATCCATATGTGCACAATAATTATGAAGTAATTTTTGTGTTTTATCAAAGAAGCATGAAGAAACTCCTTTCACTTTCTTAATAAATTGCTTTCCCATAATTAAAAGTTTGTTGTATAAATCCTGAAAGAAATTAGCTAAGTCCATATGGGGGACTTGCAGAAGTATTTTCATTTTCTTTCACACTGAATTTTATTCTGATCTAATAACAATGTGCTTGAATTTCTTTTTTAATTAATAGAATTGCTGGCATTAATGCATTGACCATTAATGCACACTGACCATGACAAGATGTCTCAAACACGCATTAAAAATTGTGACAATGTTTCCAATTCTTATAAATTAACAACCAAAATAATCACATAGTTAATAATCACCATATAATTAATTAAAAAAATTAAATATAGCACATGTTATATGGCCAAAAGAGTGGTAGTGAATAGCATTAAACCCATCTGTCATCCAGTCACAGTGGCACTCCCCAGGCTCAGTATTGAGGACAGTCCTGCTTTATTGATGATCTGGAGGAAGGGATCAAGGCCACCCTCAGTCAGTTTGCCTCCTCAAAGGAAGTTGTAGTGAAGAGGGAGTCAGTCTCTTCTTCCAGGTAGAAGCAACAGGACAAGAAGAAGCAGTCTCAGTTTTTTCCAGGGGAGGTTTAGATTGGATGTTACAAAAAATTTCTTCACCAAAATATTTTCAAGCATTGGAACAGGCTGCCCAGGGAAGTGGTTGAATCACCATCCCTGGAGGTTTTGAAAAGATGTGCAAATGTCGTGATGAGGGACTTGGACTAGGGATGGACTTGACAGTGTTGTGCTAATGGCTGGACTCAATGATCATAAGGTCCTTTTCCAAACTAAATTGTTAAATTGTTTTGTATTACTATTATTATTATTATTGTTATTGTTATTGTTATTGTTATTGTTGTTGTTATTATTGTTATTATTATTCAATTGAAATATTTTTTTAATAAATACATTATTTTGTGAAAGAATAGTGGAAGTATTCTTTTAGTGTTGGAATAAAAGAAAACTTTGCTGGAATAGCAGAACACCTTTGATGTTCTACAGGTATATCTTACATTTTGGTAATTTTACAAATAGCATTCTATATAACATTTTCATATTGCTTATGATGCTGGAGCCATGAAACAGAATATGTATTCAATCTCTCCTCAGCTTTTCTTCCCCCACCAGCTCTGCAGCTGGTTAGTCCACTGACTAATTACTCCACTGACTGCTTACTCCTGACCTCTGTGGTTTGTTACTTAAGTTACTTAAACCTCCTGGCCTTAAAAGTTCAGCATCAGCTTGGCACCATTCAGTCAGGGACCAGCCTTGCCATGTCTTTCCATGTCTGTGACACACGTCCCTGTCGAATATAGTTCAACAGATTACTTAATTACTGTTTCTGCCTTGATGTCTAAACCATCTAAATGAAAGACCTCTATTTGTACATCTCTGCAGACTTCTGTCAGACTTTGTCTTTTCCTTTTGTGCTATAAATAAAATGTGGAAACAGGAAGAATGAACAATTCTTAGGAATACTTTAGAAACCACAGAAAAACCAAAAGTACAGATATACATATTCATGCCCACTTGGAATTAATGAGACTTCACAAACACGAGGATGTGTCAAAAACCACGCAGACCAACAAAACCAAGCTTTGTAATCACTGGTATCATGTGTTAGAGGTAAATTATCTGTATCACAAGATAGGCCAAAGTGTGCCCCACTAGCTAACTGTGAATTTAAAGAAGCTTTAGAGAAAGCTTATTAATTGAATTACAGATGCAAGAACTGATAAATGTTTCAGGGGCCAGGCATTATTGGCCCAGAGAAGCCTGAGTTAAT